TAGTGGTGGTCTGGAGGTGGAGGCAGCAGTCAACTAGAAGCTGCACAGTTGTACCGGCCCCGGCATGGGTGGGCTCCCCTGTCGTATAATGCCATCGTATTAAACGCTGTTGGTCCCTTATGTCTTTAACGTTCACAACCTCTCTGTAGTTTCATACCAGACTTGTGACGTTTACAAACAGAACACAACTATTGAGTCTGAAGTTACAAGGCCAAAGATAACTCTGTTCTTATTAACCAGGGAACATGGTCCTACAGATGAGAGAAAAAGAGCCTGTTCGGATCCGCTGGAATCCGTTGTCTGGAATTTGTTCTTTTTTTCTGGTTTGTTTGTATCTATCTGTCTGTCTTTCTAGCAACGTGTGACTGTGAGAGAATTTCTTCCCTTTGGACCTTTGTGTTCTGTGTTAAAGGAACTGGCCATATCTGGTCTTACAAGACACTTTGAATACTGTGCAAGAAGCAGATTAGGCAAATGCAAGCAGACTTCAAAGACCATAACAAAACTTGCCACTCCGCCGGCCTGAGTTAGGCTTTTTCTGAACAAAAGATTTATCAATAGCAGTGTTTGTCACAATTAGAAAGTATGAATATAGTTCTTCAGCATAACAAATTGCTAGCGTGTTTTTAAGATCAGACAGAAATACAATAAATTTATCTTAATCTCCAGTTAGAACCTAGAGCAAATGTAATTTATTGCTATTTTTAATGTCAGTTCAGTTGCATTTTCCTATCTGGATGAGCTTGAGATTCTTGATAAATTATGTTATCTTTTGAGTACGTTGTGATTAGTTAAGTGATATCTTTAGTGTGCTCTAGGTCATCTTGTCATATTTGACACAGAGGTGTTCAGACATAGGGAGCAGGATCAAATGTTCCAGGCTGAGACTGAATTTGGATTAATCCTCGCTTTGGCTCAACAGATAAAACACAATGTACTGGGCCATCATGACTGCAGAAACAGCTTTTCTTCCAAATCCCTTTCAACAGAAAAGATGGGTCTAGATGAGAATTTTCCACTTTTACTCTCATCCACTTGTGTCTCAACTTCAGAAGCTGAACAGCAGTTCAAACAGAAATGGGAGGATAGTCGTTTTCTTTAGAGTGCAGTCTGTAATCTCTGCAGACGTTAAGAACTTGTTGCTCATTTCTTCGTTGTAACTCAGTCACGTGGTTTGGCTTAAGAGTGGGATTTTTGCCCTATTTTTGCTTGCATTCTCTCGTTTGTTCAGTGGCTGGTTTGTATGGCAGTTATGCCATAATAACAAGCTAGGCAGTGTTTAAAGAAGTCTAAGACAACTGTTACTGCCTGTTAGTTGGAGAACACTAAGAAGTCATTAGATTGTTCTGCTTTTAATTTGCAAAATCCAGACTGATTTTTTTGTGTTCTTTTTTTGAAGCAGTATAAACATACCTTAAGTAGACTGGGCATGGTGTACAAATAGATAAAGAGAAGCCTAAAGAAGTGAAATGGTTCTTAGTTTTTTGAAAAGTGGCCTTTTTGTGGCTTCTGAGCATCTTACATGCTTGCTTTCTGTAATGAATGTGTTGGTACAAGAACGACTTTTCCCTGAACCTAAAAATAAACATGCTGCTTAGTAGTATATCTTCAGTAGCTGATTTGTTTATGTGAATCAAGCAGTGAAAAGCTCTTTAGATTGAGTTTCTGTGCTGCGTTCTTGGCACCGCGTGTGCTACCTAGCTCTGTTGCGGAGCTTCTTTCCTCATTGGTTCCTAAAAGCAAGATCGGGTGTCTAAGCCTGATGTTTTGTAACTATAGGAAAAAAAATGAAGCAGGCAATTGGTAGAGAAAAGGTAGAGAAAGTGCTCAGGCTACAGCTTCTAAGCTCTTTCTGTAAACATGTCAATATAACATCCAATTTAGAGCCAATCCCTTGGTTTACAAAACCCAAATATTTTGGCATAATCCTAGTGAGAATTAATCTGCCCTGCTCTGTCAACTCACCTTCCATTATTGAAAATTGAAGCCTGTAATCCTTTTGGTGTCTGCACAGATAGGAGATGACGCAGAAGGAAAAACTACACTAGTTGCAAATTTATCGTTTTCGAGGTCTTATGTCTCCAATTTATCAATCTGTTTTTTCACACACAATAGGACTAGAAGCCAAGAACAGTGCCTGTAGCTATCTTGACTCTCCTCTAGAAGTGGGAGTGGAGCACATTTCAGCATCACTGAGTTGGTTGTAATCTGGCTAGCTGGAGAAAGGAACAGCAGCAATGAGTCTATGACCTAATCAGCTGAAATTTATGAATGCTAGGGTTTGTTAACCCATGCTGACCTTGGCTTGTTACCCAGTCTAGCTCTATGAAAACTAGCTGAGCTACATCATCCCATCCTATAAAAACACTTCCAATTGCTTTGTGAATGAAAGCCTGATTGCAAATAGTTTATCCAGGAGAAAGATAATATGAAAAGTACCTAACTATTTGCATAAAATCAGTAGAGAAAGTGTAATTTGATAGGAAAACATATTTTATGCAAACATTGCTATTTTTTTGAAGGCGGGATGGCAAAGGTAAGTTACCACTAGGAATTTAATATATTTAGTAAAAAATAACAGGTAGAAGAGTTATTTTGTTTCCTCCAGAGTATGTGCCACAAAAGGATGTTGTTTTAAAGGGAGCCGTGGTGATTCTTCCATAAAACACAGAAGCCGGTGCTGTTACAAGTTATAAGCTTCTTTGTTGTAAAACAGTGTGACTACAAGAATAACGAGCTAGTTCAGTCACTCCCGGTAGTTTTAAGGTTTGTAGTTCAGGAATAACCGTTGAGACAAAATCTATTTGAGACCTGCAGATAATCAGTGGGACAGACTGCAGAGTGGTTCTGACGTACATGTCGTGTAGTTCCAGAATAAATACTGTAGAAGGAGAGGGTTTAGCTTACTCCTGTACAAACAAAACGTAGCATCCTTTTGCTCTTTGCTGATTGTATCTCAGAACACCCAAGATCCCTATAAAATCCTGACACCACTTTTGAAGGTCATTTATAGAGGTCACCTTTTTGCCTCCTACACTCTCTAGAGAAATTCTGGTCTACCCACTCCTTCATGGCCACCCACCTGCACATCAGCTGAGAAATCATACTTTGTTAAGAAAAACCTTTGTTAAGAATGCTATTTTTGTTCTTTGTTCTCTCTCTTTCATGTGAAAAACATCTTTTGGTTGGTGCGGTTCAAAGTACAGCATTGACAGCATATAGGAACTGAAACTGTTTGAGCTGAATTTAAAAAACGAGATTGGGGAGCTGTCGTTGTTTACCTATGTGTATTTTATTCTGATTTTTGTTTCCCTTTCAAGAAGCGAATTCAGATTAGCCTAACTGCAGGAACACTTAAGTGAGCACTCTTATGGATGAATTAGCTGCTCTTTGATTGCTTGAAGCCAGTAATGGACCTGTAGTCTTAAACAGTCAGAATGAAGAGGTGTAAAGAGTCAATGACCATAAACATTAGTTAGCAGTATTATTAAATCTATACCTTCATATGCAATAGGAATATAGTCATTACAATAATAATAAATTATCAGAAGTTGAATGCCTTTGGCTTTGAGAATGAGTATCTTGGTTCTGTGTCTGTATATACGCAACTGTAAAAGGTATTATTCAGTGTCATTATTTAGTGCTATTGATGTTATACTGATGTTATCACCCACTTCCTCTTTGCAATAATCATTAACAAAATCTTGAATCCTTCATCAGTTAGCTTTGTCAACAGTTAGCAAGGCTTCATCACTAGGGCAGTAACTGTTAGATACTTCTGAAAACTGGTGTATCTAGATGTAAACAGTTCACCAAGAAACTTTTCCATGGTGATTTGACGAACATATTAAAAGAGTCATAAATCTTTTGAAACATCTTTCAGCACTTTGTGAGGAGGTGGCAGCATACCTAAACAAGCAAAACTGAACAGAAAGCAATCTGATTTTCCACCAAAGCCTTTCTTCTACCCTCTGTTCTTGAACCTGAGGATCCAAGAATGACAAAAAAGTGAAAGCCTTCTCCTTCCCCCCCCCCCTTTTGCCTTTTTCCTTTCTCTCTTTCTGCTATCATAAAATCAAGCAGAAAAAGTTCTAAACCAGCTTCCTCCAGATCAGTGTTGTGGTCACTGACTGCAAAGCTCTGCTTCGTCCTCACCAGGACATTGCATGGGGTTTCATAATTTTTCCCTGCGCATCCAGCTAGAGCTCAGGTCTTCTGTGGTACCTGCCCCCGGGTACTTGTGAGAAACCTAAGTGAGGAGCAGCTGGATCGCATAGTGCTGCACATGCTAATCTGGAGGTCCATGAGAATAGACAGACCAGTTTTCATTTAACTTCAGTGAGCTTTGAGTTAACAGCAAATATATATAGAAACGGCAGAGCTCCATTTTGTCTCCCACCGGGCTTTTTAAGTGCACAAGTCTTGCTTCTCCTCAGATTACTGGTATAACTCACACTGAAGCTAGAGGGAATTGGATGCACTCAAAGAAAACACTCATACGAATTAGACCGGGGAATTAGTGTTCTAACTGTTATTACTTATTAGAACAGTCTCATTCTGTATGTACTAACAGATGATATTATTATAACGTTAAAAAAAGTTAATATTAAAACTGACATATTTAGCCTAGGCCTCAGGGATGATTTGTTTCTTTGCTAGTGCTGATACTTGTAGAGTACAGAACTGTTTTGTATTATGGAATCATATGGGAGTTAAACGTTTCCAGGTACATTGCTTATTAACCCTTTCAGTAAAGAGTTGAAAGAATCCAGATCTCATAAGCAAAATGCAGCAAGCGTCTAGTACAAGAACCTTTCCATATGTGTAGCACGATCTCTTGGAAACTCACGTGATTTAAAGTTGCTGTTACTGATAGACAGGTTTTCTTGTGCATTTTTTTTATCATCTTTAGTTTTGCATCTGTTTTAAGTTAGATGTTTCATAATGCATTTCTGAGTATGGTTATTTACAAGCTGCTTTCTCCATTGCTTTGCCTGCAGGTGCTGCAGGGTGCTCAGCTGATAGCTGTTGCTTCTGCTGAGCCTGCATCAGGGGGTGTTGATGGATCCCCACTCCAAGGGAGTGATATCCAAGTCCAGTATGTACAGTTGGCACCCGTGACAGACCACTCTGCGAATAATCAAGTATGTATCTTTTTTCTTTGTTTTTTTTTTTACCCCATTTGAGCATACTTAAATTGATTGAAATGTCTGTCAGAAGAACTATATGTCTATCCACAAATACTGCAGTCCTAATGGGTCCTAATGATCCTGCCTCTAAATGACTAATACATCATCTATAATAAGAAACATCATTTTGTTAAAGGTATAAATGGTCTTTGACTATTCCTGCTTCTAAGTTATTGCTCAATATCCCTCAAGAGAATAGTTATTTTGGTCATCAATGTTTTTCTACATCCTTGAAGGATGAGAACCATGTTGAAAGGACAAGGAGAAAATCTTGCTTGGAATCTATCCAAAAAGTATTTTTCAGATTGAGGTTTCTCTTAAAAATGTTATTCCCTTTCTGGCAGCAGTTTTCCAGTAATTTTGATCAACAGCCTGGATATCCCACGAGTTGCGATGTTAACAGTTGTAAGTGAATGCTTAATCCTCTCAGTTAAGATGGAGGAATTATCTTCTTCTTCTTTTTTTTTTTTTAAATCGACTTGAACATTCTTATATCTGAGTGTAGAAGAGACTCAGGTTACTTGGGGAAGCATAAAAGTAGTTGAATTTGGAGTGAATTCAGACCAGCTGAATGCTGCCTGATGCCAGTGACCAGTCATACGTTTCTCATCAGCTTGAAGCCATGACTGGTGACAACCCAAGAACACTGGCTTGAAACAGTTATCACAATTTTCTTCTGAAGACAATTGCATATTCTTCCATGAACCAGACTGAAGTGGGCTTACTTTTTAAAGAATGCCTAGCGATAGTGAAGAATAAATTATCACTTGCTAGCTAGAATTAATTTTTTTAATGGTAACCGCAGCAGACAATCTCAGAGCCTGGTACGTACCTAATTTTGTGCTGAATGCTAATCTGGCTGCAAACATCTGTATACTGGGTCTCTTGGGGAAAAAATATTGCATAAGAAATCAAATGAATCCATGCAAAGTTTCCGGACACAGAACTGAAATGCTCAGCGCTTCTTCCATAGGAAAGTTAGTTTGCAGGTCAGCTCAATGTGTGAAGCTAGAGCACATTAGTTCCTCCAGTGGCAAGTACGGCCTCAAACAAAAGATGGAGCTGCACCACTGCATCACATATTGCAGAAGTGCCGTCTGGACTGGCTGCGCTTGGAGGGAGGCCAGAGCTTAGTTGCCTTCTTTCATAAAATGCATGCTACCTATGACAAAGGAGTAAACTTCCTGGCAAATGAACTGTGGTATGCTGTAAAATTACCTTCTAGTTTTCTGCACACTAATTTTCCTGGATAGGTGAGCCCTTACTTGTCTTTTTCTCCTCTTCTCCCTAGTTTTTTCTCTGCACCAATCTTCTCAAGCCTCCTCAGTACTTTATTCCTAGTCATTGTAATTGTATGCTGGACAGCAAGAGCGTCGCTGCAGGGATTGTGCCTTACTTGTTACAAATCCTTAAGTACCAAGTACCCTGCTGGTACTGTGCAATTAATAAAGCATACAGGCATCAGATGCTCAGAGGTGTTTCTCTCCTAACATACTGCTCTCCTCACTCCAGGCCTCAGAACATTTCTCCAATTTAATGTTCCCTATTTTTTTTCTGAGTCTGTTTCTTGTACCTTTGTCCTCCCGTCTTGGCTCTCAGATCTGACAGGCAGCAGGTTACGGAGTTCAGTTATAAACATAGGCATCTGCCTCCCACACCATTGGCAGCCAGCAGAGGAGTTACTTTTTTCTTCAGAGACACTTTGCACCGTGTTAGGTTTTAATATTGTGGTTAACCACAGAGATTTATACAAAGCTGAAGAGAAACTAAAAAGGAATGTGAAATAAGAAGACTATGAAAAGGAAAACGGACAACACTAAAAATAAGTTTGCCATAAATATTTCCTCAGTTTACACGAACTAAAAACTAAGGCTCTATAAATGAAGTAGAAAAACCAACTTAATGCTGGCGTTACTCTGGGATGTACAGATAACCCAATAGCTTTTTTGGCTAAAATTATAGAATAGTCCTACATCATCTGAGAGAGATCTCGTGCCTAAAGGGAGAAGTCTTAAATGTGTATCTCTGTCAGTGAGGCTATAGCAACCTTTATATCTCTTCTCACATAGTTCTTTGCCACAATACCGAGATGTTCTTAATGATTTTGAGTCAATCATCAATCAAAGCGTATTCAAGTGGAGTTTGTTATTATCTACCTGAATTGAATCTAGCGCTCTACATAAATTCCATGTTTGAAACACCACAAATGAGAATTTATTTAATATCTGAAAACAAGACACTGATTTTCTTAACTTTTATCTTGAAAGCCATCTCTGTAGCTGTTGGAGTCACACATGCAAAGTTGAAGGCAGAAGTGAGGTTGTTTGAAATGAATCCCTCCCTTCTGAGGTCAGTTGAAGCAGGCAGTAATATGTGCTTCAGTTTAGTATTTTCAATGTGTTTATGCTCATTTGCAAATTAATTTTAATCACAAGTATTAATAGATAGGATTCTAACAATTTCCTAGTGCCCCTAAAACACATATTTAAATACCTTCTATTAATATCCTAATAGTATTTTGCAGGCATAAAATGGCAATGCATGTATGAAGGCAGGGTTTGAAACCAGATGTGGATTTGGGGTCTAGGTTTACTTAGCTTGTTTTCACATCATGATAGTAATATTTACTTACAGCAGCTTGCAGAATTTAGAAATACAAAATGTGATGATGACAAAGAATATGTGGATTTATTCTGTACTCAAACTTTTCATGTACTGGTGTTAAATTTGGTTAGCTATGGAGAAACCATAATTGCAAACTTGAAGTACAATTCTAACCCCTTTGGGGTTAGTCTTCTACTTCTGGTCTGAATGTTGGATACAAGTTTTCCTCCAGTGGGGGAAATAAACCCACCTTTGGTGGTCACTTTAAGATTCAGCTGCTATCAAATTTAGCAATCTGTTGGAATTATTCTCCATATTTGCACTAATTTATTGGATATATAAATATATACTGAACTGCCTATAAAGTTAAATAGAAAAAAATATCATGGCTCTTTGCAGTTACTGGCAACAAAACAGAGAAATGGACAGAAATAATTGCACAGCAACACCTTAATTTAGGAACAGAGCTTTATGATTTTGAACCTTCCAGTATTTATATTTGAATAAGTCAGTCATGACTGACTATATAATAAAACCTTAAGGGTAGGAAATCTAGTTAGGTTTCCATCCTTGTTTCTTTGCAGATTACCAAGTATCAACATTAGGTCAAGAGCAAAAAGCAGGGCTTCAAGTAAGACTGTATTTCATGAAAGAAATGTTGCTACAGAAATACTTTTGTATCCAGGGCTTTACATAAAGCAACAATTTGATGAATTTATGGATAAAAAATCCATCATGGGCAGATCTCTGGAATCTGTGGGAGCGTATAGGAGAATATCGTTAAATGCTTGCCCTTTTCTTATGATCTATCTGTGCTTGTGGTGCTGGCCGTTGTCAGGGGAGGGGTTATTGAGTGAGGTGGACTTTAACAGCAGCTGCATTGGCTTAGATAAATTCTCCTCATCGCATGGTTCTAAAGATGGAGTTTGATAATCTGTTTTCCTTACTCCAACCAACATCTTTGTTTGAAAAAAAAACAAAACAAAACAAAACTGTTTTCCGCTGGATTATCTTTTCACAGCATCATCAAACTGCTGATACATAATAATTTCATCTTTAATGAAGCTTCCTTTTAAAGTCTAAGTCAGTTGTATTTACTTCACATTCTTTAATGGACAACTGGCTTTGCTTGGCAAGTGAGTAGAATGAGGCCTCTGTGAAGACTTTTATAAGAGAAAAATTAACGAATTCACTGTGGTAGCGCTATTTTTATTTTGTACAGAGCAGAGAATGACTGTAGTGAGTAAGGTTAGCAGGTTGTTTAGTCAGCATCGTGCACCTACTGAAAACAGTACAAAAATAGGGCAAAGGGATAATTTTACTGTCCCTCCCTACAATAGTTCTGTCATATAGAGACTTGCTTCTGTCTCTGTGTATGATAGCCCTTGATGGGCCTTTCTTCCATAACACTGTTCGGCTCCTTCTTGTCTCCCTTGTGAGCTGTTTATGGCATGCTGCCACAAGGAATCCCACAGCTCAGGAGCATGGTGTACAAGAAACAGGTTCTTTTTGTTCCTTTTTAGAGCTAGTCCTTTTTTAGGAATAGAGACTGAATAATTGTTTTCAATTTCTCTCTCTGAGCTACTCATGATTTTAGAGATGCTTGCCATGATCTGTCTTCAGCCTTCTCTTTTCCGGCCTGAAGGGCTTTAGACTTAGTTGGTCTTCCGCTGGAAGCTGCTCTGTTCCTGTGGTCATTTCTGTTGCCTTTGTAAATGTATTTCAGCTCTGTCATAGGCCTGACCTCCAAGCAGATTTTGCACTGGTATATACAGGAACTTTACAGTGGTCAATTTGTTCACATTCCTTTGGTTATGTCAGTGAAAAGCACTTTTGTATTGATATACTGATTTCATGTTTCCCTTCATAGGGCACTGATACCCTTCAGTCAGCAATCCAACCAGAAATGCAGATAGAGCATGGAGCAATCCAAATTCAATAAAACGAGAATTGTGGAAAGCTGCATAAACCAAGATATCAGTGAACTACAGTCGGAATTTAAGTGCTGTAGCCTTCATGCAACAACAGGAGAATGGAAACACCTGTTAGACTAACGGTCACACCTTACGCTTCTCCTGTAAACATCAGAGTTCTGATGATGTGTTTGCTCTTCTACGCGTATTCCTCGTCTGGAATAAATCAGACCCATTTACTTCAATTGGAACTACATCACTATACATCAGTTGAGAACCCGGCCTTCAAAAATACGTGGCTAGCCCTTAGGTATATTTAAAGAGGAAGAAATCCTTTCTGAAGGAGGCAAAGAAATCTAGTAATCAAAACAGTAAGACTAAATTAATGTTTCATCCTGTCATTTCTTCTGTGAAATACACCATTTGAATGTCTGCAGATATCTTATGAAGTGTATTGCTGCTTTGCAATACTTGCTTTACCATGTAGAGAAAATCAAGAGCTCAAATATTTTTCACTGTTTAAACAGCTTTTTTATTTGCTATGGTGTTTATAACAAAAATGGAAAATATTAAAAAAAAAAAATCCCATAACTGCAAGTATTAGCCTTTTGCTGGTGTTTTCTGTTCAGTGTAATGAAAGATGTATTTGCAAAAGACTAACAATTTTGTTTGTACTGTTGCTTAACTACTTTTCTAGGGGAAAATGCTTTTAAATGCTGTAATTATGCATTTCTAATGAAAGAAATAAATGTGTATTTATGAATTAGTGCAGCTCTAAGTTGCTCTCTGCCTTAGGAATGAATACAGTTTGCCTGGCTTGTGGTGTAACTGTGTAGTTCTGAAGTATTTGAAGACAGTTGCTATCTGGCAAGCTCAGCTGTCAAACTGAGAAGCAAGATAAAGTCTATAAGGAAGATATCAATCTTAGATCATGTTATTAACTAAATTTCATCTGTGATGGAATTCCAAGACAATGAAAAAGTGAAACTCATGGGATAGATATATACCTTCTAAGCTTTTGAATTTTCAAATCCCATTTTATACAACGCGTTTATGAAGTCATTTGTAAAAGTTCTGAAGGATTCTTATGAGCTCTCTCCCTCCTAGAGCTTCCTACCTCCAGCCATTTGTGGCAATACCTCAGTTTGAGATTCAGCCATAAAAAACCGGGCTGCAAAACCTGTAATACCTACCTAGTCATCCAACCTGCAGCAGCAAGATGAAATCCCCTCTCCACTGAAATTTATGAGAAATTGTTGATTTCACCAAAGCTGTCTTTTTGTGTTCACTAAGCTTGAGTGGAAAGGATACATGTTTGCTGTAAACTGATTATCTTAATAGCGCACGTTTTAGAAAAGCATGGAGTTTATTGCGGTAGGGGTTGTTTTGTATTTGTTTTTCAACTGAATAAGTGAGGTTAGTGTTAATATATGAATCATTATGCATTTAATGTATTAATGATTGAGACATAGCCAGAAATTCACAAATTATTTAGGATAATATCCCTTCCAAAAAGGAGGGCTAAGCACTCCCAATTTCTTGAAATGTTGTCCCTGGTAAGTATTATGTTTATCCTAAAGAAAAGTATGAATTTACATTATTTATTCATGCAGAAGTGCAATGCCAACTGAGCCACAACTTGTTGAATGCAATGTTTGCAACAGGCTAAGAATTTGGCTGCTCTTCAGTTTTTTTTTTAAATCATGTTTCCTAAACTGGATGAAGTTAAACAGCTTGGCATCCAAATGGAAGCCTAAAAATAAAGCAAGTCCTGTACATTTTAGCATGGCTGTTTAATAATAATTTATCACTTGGAAATGACAGTGAGGAACCTGGGAGGGCAAAGCTGCTGCATGCTACCACATACCGGTCTCTTACTACATTGATATTGGCAACAACATCTTTCCCGTCTTTGTCAGAAAGTTTTACTACTGCCCAACTTTGCTTCCAAGGCCGGAGCATCTCCTGCTTTCAAGCGGAGCACCCATGCAGTTAAATTGTAGGGATATCTGTCTCTCTGTGTCATGATCAAAGTATGAATTCTGTTCTCTTTGCATTTTTCAGCTCAAGTACAAGATGAAGCATATGAAAAAAACTTGATTTCAGGAGAGGTTTCTTTTAGCCGTTAGGCTGCTGCATGCTCAAGTCTCTTATGCCAAAAGTGATTGTAGTCATGTACCATGCAGTGAAATAGCATTCACTAGTTTTCAAGAAAATGAAATCTGCTTCACCTGTATGGAATGGAGACCGTACAAATCAATTGAAATAAATAGGTAAGGAGTGCTCCTGAGTAAGACCCTCCTGTGTATTCAGATGCTAAGACTGTGTGTTCCTCCAGGTGTGATTTTTTTTTTTTTTCCTTCTGTAGATTTTATGTCCTTGTCCAGGGAGGAAATGACTTCTCTTTAAGAATGTTATGTGCTTTCTAGACACCACAGGCCCTGTTATGTACAGCTAAGTTATTCTTGACAATGCTAATTAAGAAATGAATTCCCTTCCAGGAAATGCTTGTAACTGTGAAGAGTCTATGAGGTTATGTGCAAGTATGAAGAGTATGTTCGTATAGAGATTATCGTAACAGTAACATATCAACATAAGAAGTCCTAAGAGTATTATAAGATAATGCAAGGAATGAAAATCTTGCAGGGACACTGAGGGTTTTGCCTGGCTCTCCATGCAAGTAGGTTAGTATCGATTCATGTAGTTTTGTCCATGATGACTGTTTGACTGTTTAAGTAAGTCAGCTAGAATTGAGTCTTCGTTATGTCTCCTTCTGTTATTTACAGCCTCTGCCTTTTTAATAATAATAAGGCTCTTTTCCCCTTAGTAAACCCTCTAACATCCTACTTTTTAACTGTTCTTTTTCTCCTTATGCTGCTTTTGCTTAAGAGGCAGTAAGAGGCAGAGATTGAGAACACATGACTAAGAGTCTTCAGGGGGATGTTTCTTGTAAGGTTAGATGAGGATCAACTGCCCAGTTTGTTTCTAAATCATCTTGTGACCTGCAGAATACTAATAATTCCCTAATTTTTATTTTATTTTGTGTAATGGCATTTAGGGAAGCAGGCTTTGTGAGAGAGCACCTTTTGAGATCCTGCTGGCCTCGCTGGTTCATTGCAGCCAGGACTTCATCATTTATCTTGATGTTCTAAAATTCTCAACATGTAATTATTGCTGCACTTGCATAGAGTACCGCTGTGATGACCTTTAAGATCTTTTCATCTGAAAGCTCACCTGAAAGAGGGAGCATCCATCTCTTGAGTTCTTAAGGGCTTCTGTGGTCCTGATCTAAAAACTAAGCAGAAACTTTAACAGTCAAGTATGCAACGCGTTCCTGTGACAAATGTCTTCCCAGATCGGAATCTCTATGTCTTCAAAGTATTATTAAAAATCTGTCTGTCTGTCTTTTTGAAATCAGGGCTGCATGGCCTGAATTAGATGTTGTAGGTTGTTGTTCCAGCTAATGACTGTAGAGCTTTGGTTTCCTTCGTGTAAGGAAAGAATATCAGTTTGTGACTTGTGTTAACCTAGTGCAAGAAAAATGAGCAAATAGTGGAGAAGTATTCAATAAATTCACTTTTCACATCCCTTGATGCTACAGCAACAAACTGTGATAAGTTTCTTGCCAGCAGGATGAAAGAAAGGCAGGAGACTTGCAGCATATTCATAAAAAAAACACAGCACAGTAGCGGCCGCTGGAGGAAAACCGTTGAACTAGTGAGTGGATGTCAGCTAGGTCAGATGAGCAATATGAGAAAGTGACAAAGCTATGGGACAGGAAGGAGCTTTCTGGGATAAGGTGGACATGCATTTCACAAATGCATATGGTGGTTTTCTACATTCAGAAAATTTGCATCATCTTTGGCAATGTGGACAAAGCACAGTATTAAGTTCTTCACCAGACTAATGTTTACAAACTGTTGTCCTTAGCCGTGTTGTGTGGGTGTGAGACGAGGAGGTGGTACAGAAGACTCATCAGTCAGTAGAGAACTTCCAGCAGACACCTTGATGTCCTGATCTGAGTGGTCTGATTGGTTGACCGTTGCCAATGTCTGACAATATTATGATGGCATCTCCATTAAAGCAGTGCTACTAAGACCAACCTGCAGAGAGGTCGATTCATCCTTTTGAGGGACAACAAGCATCTCTCATACAACAAACTGGAATGTGCAAAAAGAAAAAAAAATTGGCAAGAAAGCTCTTCATGCACACATTAGAAGCTTGCAAGACTGAATGTGTTTTACCAGTATGTTACTTAGAGATTTGAATGGCAAATATGCAGCAATGGGGTCATCCAAGTGAGTTAAGGCATAAGCCTCTTTCAACAGAAATAATATGCCTTTGAGAAGGAAGAGTTAGGAAGATAAAATGTGCACCAGCAGCAGCAGACCAGCTTATGTATTGTGAGTCCTTGTGAACTATGCAGTAAAAACTCCTTTTTGTGCAAAGGTGTGCGTAGTCAGCTGCACGCCACTGAGCTTCACTCCCCTGCCTTCATTGCATAGCAGCAGTGGAAAAGGCCAACTTCATCCCTGGTGAATCCAGTAAGAGACCTTTACTGTGGGGCAGGGACCCTCATCCCATACAATACATTGCCTAGCTGTGGCAGAACATTAGTGTCAGAACATTGAGACAGGACCTGCTTCTACACCTTTTAACATGTTCCTTAGAGGGTAAGTAATCAGTATTAACAAAGAAACAGACCAAGTTTTTTCTCCTTCACAATCCAGCCAGTGGATAGCTGATTTTGAAAATTTATGCTTAAAAACTAGCTCTTTATAAAAGTAGAAAGCCATTTTGACCTGACTGGCATCTAAAGTGAGCACGCCGCAATCCTTCCTACACCATCTGGGAGCTCAGAAAAAGTATTTTCCTCAACTGAATGCTTCTCACTTCATTACCAAGCACCTATGATAATGTAGAGATCAAATAAAGTCAAATCCCCAGTGCAAGATTCCAGTGGTGCGTTTGGATTTGAGATGTATCCTTGGGTCTGTGTGATTTCTGGTCAAACATAAGGAGCCCAGGTGGGCACCTGCTTTTGGTTGAGCCCTACACTTGAGAAGCTGCGTGTATCCATGTTGAAGTTCCTGTAGCCTTCTGCAAGTGCGCTTCCACTTGCTTATCTCAGAAGAATTGTTGGCAGGATAAAACAGCAGGAAAACTTTGTTAAGACCAGTGGAGGGAGTTGAAATCCTGGGCAGAAATGAAATTTATCTTCATGTCCAAAGGCTGCAGTCCCTAAATGCTACTTGAGACCCTAAAGCCCATTATTCCCATTGAAAGCAATGGAAAAGAGCTCTACGTGCTTAAAAATACCGGTCCTTCAAAATGTTACAGTTGGATGGCTTGTACAACTAGAAATTGGTCTAAAAAAAAGTGAAAGATATGGGTTGTTTCTTTTCTGTTTTTCTTGCTTTTGTTCCTCATTAGTTTTACGTATTTTATTTTGCAAAACAACACTATACAAATTACCACCCTTCTGTGACCCAAATAAGTGGAATGTCTTCATCAGGCACAGTTTTAGGCATTTCAGTATTGATAGTTTGCCTATAAAGTGAGGAATGCTGGCCAGAATGCTGCTTGAATTCTCACTTGTCTCCGTCGCAGAGAACCTGGCATGCATGCGAGTATGCTCTGGTGGCTATGTACTTTTCTTATTTGCTTCACAGAACTTCTGGGGAGTTTCATGTTAGAAAATGCAGTGAGGAAACTAATATCTTAAAAAAAAAATAAATAAATTACCATACAATCTCAGTACTCCTTCTCAATTCCTAATTCTGTAAGCACTGAATATTTGGAGCTATAACTGTAATTGACCAAAAACTGTTTTTCATTATTGGAAATAAGAATGTTCCTTCCATCCAGTGAG